TCAAGGGCCTTTATTTAATTTATTTATATGTAGTGCTGAGAATCGAACCCAGTTCCTCACACATGCTAGGCAAGTGCTCTACCACTGAGCACCACCCCAGCCCCTTAAGCAAGATCTCTTAATCTCTGAATAATTATTCCTTAACCAGAATACAAGAGGACATATTATGCTCAAGCATAAATTTGGGTTATTGCAAATGTTGGGGTGAAGTGTCTTGTTTAAGATGCTTGTCAAGGAGGCTGTGATACAATAATGGTGAAGAATTGATAATTCTGCTTGAACTGATGATGCACTTTGGGTGCCACTTATTCTGTGAGCAGCAGGTGGCACTGTGAGACTCAGGATGGGAACTCCTAGAAATGCTCCAGTGCAGAGGGCATCATTCATTCATTGATTTTCCTCTGAGGCTGCTGCTTCCAGGTAAATTGCCCTTTCCACCCCTGACATCCACATGTACCTCTTCTTTTTCTTTTCTTTCTTTTGTTTTTTGGTATCAAACTTTGAACCCAGGGGCATCAGCCTTTTTGATATTTTATTTACAGACAGGATCTCACTGAGATGCTTATGGCCTCACTAAGTTGCTGAGGCTGGCTTTGAACTCAAAATCCTCCTGCTTTGGCCTCCAAAGCTGCTGGTATTCCAAGCATGCACTACTGCAACTGGCCCCATGTGGCCCTTCTTCTGAAATCAGAAAAGTACTAGCACAAAGCCACCAGGCTCAGAGCTCATACAAGAGCAAAGACAAACAAGCTGCTGAAGAGAAGAACAAATTTGCATCCACTGCAAGAACACAGGATGAAAAAGATTATTGCCTAGTCCAGGCCCAGCTGGGCACCTCAGGAAATAATGTTTGGAAACACCTCCTGTCCACCTTGGACTGGCTTCACATTTACTTCTTGCTCCTTGTTTTCTCCATAAGCCAGACATTCCCAAAGCAATTTGGGGACCCTCTTGGTATGTCCCTCCAAACAAAGCTTCTAAGGTTAAGTCTTTCCTATTGTTTCAAGCACCCACTGTCACAAAATTGTATGTTCTCAAGTCTTTGTGCCCTCCTTCCCCATCTGCTTCTGCCTCACTTGGGAGCCTCAGCCATAGTCACCTACATCCTGAGCAGTGAACACAGCAACTACTTCATATGGTGGTATAAGCAGAGGCCAGGAAAGAGCCACCAGTATGTAATGAAGGTGAACAGTTTGGCAACCAGAGCAAGGGGGATGGGATCTCTGATCACTTCACAAGCTCCAACCCTGGGCTAGCAACTACTTAACCATTGCCAATACTCAGGCTGAGGATAAGGACCAGTACAATGGTGGAGAGAAACATACAATTGATGGCCATGGAGGGTGAACCACAGGGACAAAGGCAAAGGAGAAGTGAAGCCAAAACTTCTGTGCCTTTCCTCCTCCTCCTCAGAGACTTGGAGTTACAGCCCCACATCCCTCTCCAGAACCCTGATACCCCTTGTAAACTCCCTTATTCTGCAACTCAGCTCCCAGGACATTCCTAAGGAGAGGTAACTTGGGTCATAATTGAGGTCATTTTGACAACATAATGTTGTGGTCCTTTAATATCAGCCAGTGGGGTTAAGAATGTGAGAGAGGAGAGCCGTCCAGGGAAAAATTTGTTCTGGGGAAAATGGTTGGGCTGAGATGATCCTGTGTCCAAGAGGCCCATTAGACCTTGGGATCCATCTGGATTTCTGTTTGTTGAAGGGACGCTGAGGGAGGTTTCCATAGGTGACAATGAAAGTTGGCTTCTGTGAGTATGGCAGTGCCTGGTCACCATGTAGTGCAGCAGGATCCGTCAAAACTGAGGACTGCCAACCAAGAAAGGATAAATAATATTAAGCTCACAGTGAAGACAGATTCTAATTCAGGTACAGAACAGATTTGCATATCAGGAAATACAGTTTCAGTTAGAAACCCAGCAAGTGTTCTGTCAAGGTAAAGGCAGACGTGGGTTTTAAAGAAAAAATAGGGATCAACAGGTGAAGGGGCTTGTTTTTAAGAAACTTCAATTGATTATTGCATTAACCAAGTTGTTTTGGAAGAATTTGGATTGTTTATGAGGTCTGTTCATACATGGAGCTACACATACTTGTTTGTTAGGGGCATATCACAGGGGAGATTATCAGCAAGCTCTTAATCTTTTAAGAAAGCACATTGGCATACGTCTCAGGAATAGAATTCTGTTACAGTTGGTAGTCTTATGAGCACATTTTTTTCCAATCATGGGTCTTTGTCTAAAAACAAAAGGGAAGCCTGTCAAATTCTGACCTCTGAGTCTTCCACAGTCTTTCTCTCTCTTGATAAGTGTGCAGTTATTTTAATTTTTTCAGGATCCAGCAGGAAAGACTTGGCCCTCAAAGAGACAAGACATGTTACTTGCCCCTAGGGGTGAGTACAGAACAATGTCCAAAAGGAAAGGGTGTGCATGTCAACAAGGTTTTGAGCAGGACCACATGGAGCATAGTTTGGCCTCTAATGCTATTGTAGATTCTATAATACTATTTCCCTGTATTGAGAACCATGTCCTAGTACATATAATGAGTCATCACACATTGTTCTCCAAGATATTTCCCATGACATTCTGTGTGTGTGGGTCTGTGTGTGTGGGTCTGTGTGTGAGTGTGTGAGTTACACACATCCTCATCTGCATCATAAGGAGTTACCAAAGAGGGAGCCCTCAACTCATGATCAGTGGGGATCCCCAAAAATGTTGCTGAAATGAATTGAAGGAGATACCACTTAAGGCATAGATATTAATTTAGGAAAGTGAAAAATAAACATGCAAAGGAGGATAAGGGCCATCTGGAGAGTAAACAACACTTTTGGGGTTCTCAAACTCTTCTTTTAAAGGAAAAAGAGAGATAGGCATGGGAAGGGATGTGGGGATGACATTCCCTGTTGATCACAAGACAGTTTATGGTGGTAGGGAAATTCTCGGGATCATTAGGCTAATGTGGTCTCTGATATCTGAATAGTAGATAACATTGTAAACTCCCCTATATTTAAGCTTCCTGAAAAAATACCTTCTGTCTTCGATTTTTTATCTCCTTTCACTGCAGTTATTCTAAAAATGGATGTACTTATGGGTTAAATAACAGTTCATAGGGAAATTTTCAAAAGTTGGTGTATTTTCATTAACTTTAAAATTATGCATGAAGATTTGAAGATTTATCAGAAATTTGAGTGTGGTATCCTTGGGAGAACCATGTTTGTAAGTGGCAAGAATAGGAGAGAGAACTGGCTTGCGATTGAAATAATGAAGAGTAGCTCCAGCCTTTCAAATGATGTTGTATTTCCTTGTCTATCCTTTAGTTTCCTTTATACCTATCATTTATTCACTGTTTATGCACATGTAGATGTTTTTAATAGCACTAATATTGTAATGCTGCCAAGATCTACACAGTCAGCACAGTCTGACATCCTACTTATGCTAAATATTGTTCTTCCTCAGAAACATGGTTTCAGAAAGACTAGCTTTGAAACCTGGACAGCTGATGAGCCATTGATCCTTAGCTTCACAAGAGGGTCATGGTTCTTCCAATGAGAAAATTAGACTTCCTTTCCAGCACGTGGCTTTCTATCCAAAAGTAAGAGCCCAACCCTTACAGATGCCATAAAGATTGTTCTGTGTGGCTTTCAAGATGGCTAAATTTACATACAAGCAGTATCCTTGAGTGAAGTTTTATTAACAGGGTGATGATCAAGACAATGGGCACATCAATTCCCAGCTATACAGGGAAATCCAGAGATGTCACAAAGGAAATACACCAGAGTCAAAAGGTGAATGGTGACACATGGAACAATATCCAGAAAATGGGCATCCCATTTGTGCCAAGTGATAAGATGGTGGGCATGGTGCAGAAACCTCCTATTTGCCAGGTATTTCCCATCAGAAACCAATGACCTCACTCTCAAAAGCCCTGGATCTCAAGGAAAAAAATTCTAGAATTTAAAGCTACCTTAAAGCAGCTCCTCCCTGAATATAGAGGGCTCAATAGTGAATGGTCAAATAGCTCCCATCTCCTGCCATCATTGCAGATTAAGAAGCTGCAGAAGCAGGAGCAGGTGAGTTTGGATGTGTGTGTTAATCATTAGAAAAACCACGAGGCAAAAAGGAATTCATATTGGGTTCCTTTCTATGTGTGCTGCAGTGAGGATGGATTCAGAGTGTTTCAGGCTTATGAGTTCCTTATCTGGGAGAGCTGGGAGATGGGCTTAAGAAAAGGAGAGTCTTTTCCCATCTCTTTAACACAACCTGGAACAGGTGATGGGGCACCTTTTCTTCTTTTCTCTGAGAATTGATGTCCAGAGAAAGGGGAGATTTTATGAGCCTATGATAGTAATACCTAGTGAAGACATATCCTCACATGGCCTGATCTGGCCCATCTCTAAAATTCCAAAGGAAGGGCATCTGCTCCCCATGGAAATCTGGGAACATGGAAGGAGTTGCTAATAGATGCCAGCAGGACAAGTCCCACCTCTCCAGTGGGAAGGATGTGCTCAATTCGGGTGTGACCCAGAGTAACTCACAGCACAGGCTCAGCTGTGATGGCTGTGACTTCCTCTGAGCCTTGTGTTATCACTCCACCAAAAATATCTTTTCCAGGGTTTGAACAAAGCTGCCACACGGTCTGCACTTTCTTCCACAGTGCCTTGGTTAATAATTTTAGGAGTTAATTTTTAGGATATTTACCTAAGGACAAATTGTTAGGGGGCAAATTTTAAAAAGGAAACACAGAAACTTCCTCTAGCTCCACTATGCCTGCATTACTACTGACATCTCATAGGAATGGGGACACACATGAGAGAAAATCATGCTCTGCTCAAAAAAGCACTAAAAAATCACACTTGGGTTATATTAGCTACAAATTCCTTATCCAACTAATGAGAAATAAAGTCAGGTAGCCTATTTGTATGGGGAAATTCCTGACTCCTAAATTCAAGTTTTCCTTCAGGTTAAAGATCACAAACAGTTTGGGCAACAACTGTGTCTCAGGGGCTGAACCTGACCTTTTCCCTTTGGGCTGCCCAGGGATCCCTGCACTTCTTCTTGAGCTTCTGCTTGGATCTTAGCAGGTCCTTGATGGTTGTGTCCAGGTCCTGGTGGCTGTCCAGCAAGCTCCATCTGTCCTTAGAGCTGTCTTTCTCGCCAACACTCCTCTCTTCTTCTGCCTTCCCCTCTACCCAGAGGTCTTGAAACATACAAATGTCATTGAACATGAAAGATCTTGAGAGGACATGCTAGCTCCTGGCCTGGAACTCCCTTCTTGGAGCTTCACCTGCTTTTCCCTGTCTGGGTGGGTCCTGCCCACTATGGCCAGACTGAGCATGCCCCAGCTGCAATCACCATCCTAGGCACTTTATTTAATCTCTCTTGTTTTCTTGGGTGTGGACAAACTCACAGCATGGCTACCACCTCTCTGTTTCCTTTTGTAGCTCAGTGACAGGTCTGGGGTTTTAGAGAGAGGAGACATGGGGTCAAGAGTCTGACTGCTGTGGCCCAGTGGAGAGAGTAGGCCTGGGTTGGGCTGTGAGCACCTTTTGGCTCTGGCCAGCAGACTTTTTTACTGTGCCTTCAGAGCCAAAAACATCTGGATTTCCTGCTCTATGCTATCATAACTGTCCACAGAGCTGCTGTCCCCATTAGAGTGCAAAGGCACATTGGGGGAGCAGATGCAGGCCCATGGCTGCCCTCCACGTGTGGCCTTAGAAATATCCAGAATTGCTTCAGTGCACATCAGCTCAGATGTGTCTGACCCACCAAGGCCCCTTCCATAGGCTCCCTCCTGGTGGTGGTGCTTGCTGGAAGTGCAGCAGCTGTGGCATCCTTTGGTGGCTTGGAGAGGTGGTAAGAGTCCAAGCCCCTTGGGCTGAGATCTGTGCCCCTGGGGACTGCTGAGTTCCTCTTGCTGGGTGTTCTCCTGGGGGCATCAGGGAAGGCACTTTTCAGTGAGCTGCCCAGGCTGCTGGCAACTTTCAGCCCCTTCTTTCTGAGCTGGGCTCTTGGGGGCAGATGCCTGCTGGCCTCCTTCCTGGTCTTCTCCAACTGACACAGCTGGATGGCCTCCTGGATGTCATCATCGCTGCTGGAGTCAGAGACCTTGTGCTGGGTGGCTAGGGTCCTGGGACTGCTGCCCCTACCTTCAGCCCTGCAATTCCTGCTCTGTGCTGCCTGGGGCTTGGGTGCAGCAGGCCTTGTGCTGCCCAGGTTCTCAAGCTCTGTGGTAACCTTAGGCCTGAGGCTGCTGTGCGCTGTTCTTACCTTTGCTGACCTGAAAGGTCTATGGAAGACAAACTCCTTCCAGGCTCCATCAGACCATGGCGGGGCAGTGCCATGACAGGGGGCTCCTGGGTGGATTTCAGTGTGGGTTGGGCAGAATTTTCGTTTGAGTCTGTTTTCTTATCCACATACCTGTCACACTTTTGGTTTTCATTTTATCTTTTCTCATTCAGAAATGGTTCTATTTCTGCCCGGATGCTCTGATCAAAGGAGTCCTTGCTGCTCATCCTGACTGGGGAGGCCAAGCCCTGTTTCCCACAGGCCTCCATAGGTATTCCAGAAACATTGCCTAATGCTGGGGTTAGTTTTGGGGGACACAGGGAGGGCAGGGTGTCACTGTGTGGAGGATCTGTTTTGCATCTGCTGTCCCCACCTGCAGCCCTGCCAGGCTGGGCTCCATTGGGTATGGGCTGTTGTTCTAAGGAGAGCAAGAACCAGAATCATTGTACATAGCCCTGTACATATGGATACTAACATGATGCTTTTATTTAACAGATGTGTCCTGGTAAATATGATTTTTGTAGCTTTTTGTAAATTAGTTATAGTGCTGTAAAAAATATTTTTGGAAAATGTTGTCTTTTGATTTTGAAAGGTGTTTCTAACTGAAGCTTTCTGTGATTTGCTCAGGAGCCATTGATGAGCCCAGAGTTTGGTCTTTTCCTTCACGGTGAGGGTCACCCTGGCTGGAACTCTGGCCAGTTGCTGGTTCAGATGTTCAAGCCTAAGGAGGCAGTGGCCACCTTCTGGGAAGCACTAAAATGCCTTAGTGTCTGTCAGAAGCTCCCAGAACAATGCTTTTAATAAAGGACACACTGGTCCCTAGCAGCCAGAGAAGTTCCTCTGAAAATTGTAATCACAGCCTTGGATTAGTAAAATGTTTCTAAGCACAGTGGCTAGCAAGTAAACTGACCAGTGTGCCTCTTGAGACATCACTGAGACAGTGGCTCACTCTGCAGCCCAGTCCCTTTGTGTCCAGTCTCCTGCAGTCACTAGGTGATTTTAACATCTACGTAAACCTCTTTTTTTAGGACAGCTCCTGTTCTCCTCTTTTGATCATGGTTCTAAGAGATCTTAATGCATGTACATTCTAACTGTCCTTTTCTTGATGTGTGCACACAAGTGAATAAGTACAGCAATTAGGTGGTTTGTTCCACAGACAACTTGGCCAGAGCTCAGTGCTGGGGACAAGCCTGGCATACCTCCATATCTGCCATCCAGGAACTGCACCCTAGTCAGGGGTCTGACCGTTGACAGAGCCAGTACTGTCAATGCCTCCTGCAGCCCACCTCCTTGGGCAGAAGGGTGCTGGTTGTAGGCCATGGCCTCTTGTCCCCTAAGTCAAGGCCAGATGTTGCTGCCTTGGTTTTCTTACCTTCCACCCTGTGGTACTAAGTTATCCATGGTCACTGTGGGAACAAGGTGTGCTGGCCACCTATGTCCTCCAGTCACCCCATATTCTGCAACTCGGATTCAGCTGTGAGACAGAGTCTACCTTGTAGCCAGAGGATGTTGTTGGTATTCTAATTGTATATGAGTCTTGTACACCTCCTGCACCCCTGGGTATAAACAGAAACCCAATTCTGTGCCCAAGTGCAGACCCCGCCCACAGTGAGCATCAGCTGGGTGAAGTTGCGGTCCTGAGTATCCCAATGTGCCTGTGATAGTTTCTTTGTGGTGCATTCACTCACTTAAGTGCTTATGAGAAAAACAGTTCCATGTAATCCATGTTCTTTTATTAAATTTTTTGAAGAGTACTTTTAACTCTTGGAAACAAAAATCTGCTTTTTTCCATAAGCACTTTTTTTTAAATGAATAAATCAAACATCACACACACACACACACACACACACACACACACAAAGATCACAAACAGTCCATTTTAGTTGATTAAAATCTGGAGTATTTCTGCTTGTATATTCTAAGCAGCCAAGGGCACAGATATTGCCACCCTCCCAGGTCCTGAGCCACCCAGGGTTTACTTGTGGCAGTGCCTCCATAGGAAGTAGGATTAACCTGGCTGAGTATTCAATATATATATATATTCAATATATATATATACAATATATATATTCAATATATATATATATTCAATATATATATATACAATATATATATTCAATATATATATATACCCTTGCTGAACCCACATGTGTTTCCTTACTTAGTCAAAGTGATTGTTGTCAGTCTACAGACATGTACTCTCATCTACTTCTGGTTAATGCTCTGATCATGAGGCTTCTTTCGTTTCATGACATTATGTCTCTGATTGGAGTGATGCCTTACTACCTACCCTCAAGAGCTTAGCTCTGTGCAACCTCATTCCTGACAAAATTCACAGAAACCATGGGGACTCAGTGCATTCCTTAGGCAAGTACAGTTTTTGGCACTTGGACTATATGAAGCAAGAGGAGGGGAAAAAAGAAATTCCCAGTGACATTTGACAGTCTACTGTGGTAAGGAGGCTCTCAAAGAGAGGAACAAACACCACCTATGAAAATACACTAGATAATGTGAAGAATCAATAAAATCAGGAGATTGCTTAATAAAGAGAATGCCATTTATTAACTCATTTCAAAAAATGAATGAAATGTAACAGTGTCACATTGCAATGAAATCGTAATCAGTGGACACAAGATAATGGGGTGACCCAGAGTGTAGGAGGACAAGTTTGGTTTTCTGCTGAGTCAGATTTTATCAGTGGTCTCAGCTGCCCAGCTTCATCTAGGGAAGGCTCCAGGAATGTCAACAGCGTTACTGAGCTGGGCCTAGGGCGTACGATAACCCAGTAGAGTTAGCGCAGTGGCCATGGGTCAATTCCTGGAAGGATCCTCTGACCTGGGTCCCTGAAGACTAAGGCTGATTTTATGCCCAAAAGAGTAGATGAAGGAATCTGGGGCTCCAACTCTCCCACTTTGTCTTCTCTAGAACTCCAATGCTCAGAAGAAGGCTCCTCAGTAGTCCTAAATCAGCTGCTCCATGAGAGGAGAAAGTTTGCATAATCACCAAATACTAGTTGCTCCCAGAATCATGAGAGAGCATAAGATGATATAGAGGACCAGATGTGCTCTGAACATCAGGAGTTTGATCTCTGGGAAATTTCCAACTTGGCCTGGCTCCCCATCCTGTTCCCATCTTTCTCTGCACAGATGACATGCTCAGTCCTGTCCCTAGTCTCACCCTTTTCAGGACCCTCAACTGAACCCACCCCATACCCTGACTTAGCCCAGGCAGAGCCTCAGGATGGAATGTTGGGATGGGTCCTTTATCCCCAAGCACCCTCTTCTCTATCTCTTACAGGCTCTGTGGCTGTCTTAGAGCTGACACAGCTGGCCTTGGGGCCAGTTGCTGTGGGACAGATGGCCACCATCATCAGCTCTGGAGATAGCCTTGCCAATGAATATGCTTGGCACTGGTACCTATGTGGATTAGTCAGCTCTTGGTGTCCACAGCTTCTTTGGTGTTAGCAGAGGCAGCACTGCCCATGGGGCCCAGGTCCCTATGTTGTAGAGCTAATTCTCCTGTTGGTGGCACCAGTGTTTGTCAGCCTCGCCCTCAGAGTTCAGCTTCTCCACCCAGAAAACAACCAGCAGGTTCCTGCTCAGGTACTCCAATGCCTTCTGCTCCATGCTAGGCCTGCAGAACAAGGAGGGCACCAGCAGACACAACCTTGGGGAGGTGGGGTGCACAGGTGTGAGAGGTCCTGTCACTGCCACCTGTATCAGAGGCTCAAACAACAGATTCCAGAACAGCTTAAGTCCCCATTTCCCCCTTTTCATGTCTTGAACTCATTTATTCCACCACACTCTTCTGCTATAATGTTCACACTTGCCTCAAGACCTAAGGAATGGAGTCAATTGTTTATGGATTGCAACGTAGGAAACCTTGAGAATCCAAATAAATTTTTTATCCTCTAAATGTTGTGTTTTTTCCTTTTTCTTTCCTTCTTTTCTTTTTTTAACAGTTGAATGCATTTTGACAGATTGTACACAAATTGAACACAACTTTTTCCTCTGGTGGTTCATGTGGCAGAGTCACTCCAGTATTGTAATCATACATGTATATAGGGTAATAATCTTTATCTCATTCTACTGTCCTTCCCATCCCCACAGCCCCACTTCTCCCGTCTGTCCCCTCAACACAAATCAAAGTGCCTTTATGATTCTGCCTGATCCTCCCAGCCCCATTATGGATCAGCAACTGCTTATCAGAGAAAACTTTGAGCTTTTGGATTTGGGGGATTGGCTTATTTCACTTAGCATGATATTCTCTAGTTCCATCTATTTACCTGCAAATGCCATAATTTCATTCTTCTTTTAGGCTGAATAATATTCTATAGTATATATGTACCACATTTTCTTTTTCCACTCATCTGTTGAAGGGCATCTATGTTGGTTCCACAGTTTAGCTATTGTGAATTGAGCCACTATAAGCATTGATGTGGCTTCAACACATTAAACACACAATAAAAACACATGTATGCTGATTTTAAGTCCATTGGGTATAAACTGAGGAGTGGGATAGCTGGGTGCTTCTAGTCTAAGTTTTCTGAGGTATCTTCATAGTGCTTCACATACTGGCTGGACCAATTTGCAGTCCCACCAGCAATATATGAATGTAACTTTTTTCCCACATCCTTCACAACACTTGTTATTACCTGTGTTTTTGATACATTGTCATTCTGGAGTGAGATGACATCTTATAGTAGTTTTGATTTGCATTTCTTTCATTGTTAGAGATGATGAACATTTTTTTCCAATGTGTGTTGATTGATTGTATTTCTTCTTCGGTGAAGTGTATGTTCAGTTTCTCAGCCCATTTATTAATGGTGTTATTTGGCTTTTTGGTGTTCAGTTTTTAAGTTCTTCACATGAGATTAGTGCTCTATCTGAGGTCTGTATGATAAAGATTTTTCCCCATTCTGTAGAATCTCTCATCATGTTATTGCTTGTTTCCTTTGCTGAGAAGAAGTTTTTTAGTGTCTGTCCATCCCATTATTGATTCTTGATTTTACTTCTTGCACTTTAGAAGTCTTGTTCAGAAAGTCAGGTGAGGAAGATTTGAGTGAACTCTTTCTTCTATTGGGTACATAGACTCTGTTCTGTCAATCTTTGATCCACACTCAGTTGATTTTTGTGCAGGTGAGAGATAGTGGTTGAATGTCATTTTGCTACATATGTAGTTCCAGTTTTCCCAGCATCATGTATTAAAGAGGCTATGTTTCTCCAATGTATATTTTTGGCACCATTGTCTACTATGAGATAAGCATATTTATGTGGGTTCATCTCTGTGTCTTGTATTGTAGTATTATTGTTCCACATGTGTCCTTTGGTACCAATACCATGCTGTTTTTGTTACTATTGCTCCATAGTATAGTTTAAGTTCTGATATTGTGATGCCTCCTGCTTCATTCTTCTTGCTGAGGATTGCTTCTTCTATTCTAGGCCTCTTGTTTTTCCAAATGAATTTTGTGATTCCTTTTTCTAATTCTATGAAGATTGTCATTCTTTGGTAGAGATGTAATGCAAATCAAAAGTACTCTAAGATTCCATCTCACTCCAGTCAGAATGGCAGCCATCAAGATTACAAACAACAATAAGAGTTGGCCAGGATGTGGGGGAAAAGGCACATTCATACATTGCTTGTGGGACTGTAATTTGGTGTAGCCATTCTAGAAGTAAGTATGGAGATTTCTTGGAAACTTGCAACATAACCACCATTTGACCTATCCCACTCCTTGGCCTAGATGTAAAGAACTGAAAAACAGCCTACTACAGGGACATAGACACATCAATGTTTATAGCAGCACAATTTACAATAGCTAAATTGAGGGACCAACCAGATGCCCTTCAATAGAAGAATACATAGAGAAACTTTTGTATATATACACAAAGGAATATTACTCAGAACAAAAAGAGAATAAAATAATAGCATTTACAAATAAATGGTTGAAGTAGGAGAATATAATGCTAAGTGAACTAAGCCAATCCCAAAATACCAAAGGCCAAATGCTTTCTTTGATATGAGGATGCTGACTCATAATGATGATAGCAGGGCATGGGAGAAATGGAGGAATTTTAGATAGGGCAAGGGAAGGGAGAGGGTACAAATGATGATGAGAGGGCATGGGGGTACAAATGATGGTGGAATTAGTTAGACATTGTTACCCTAAGTACATATATGAAGAAATAAATGGTGCGAAAATACTTTGTGTACAACCAGAGACTTGAAAAATGGTGATCTCTATGTATAATATGAAATGAATTGAATTCTGCCATCATATATAACAAATTAAAATGAATAAATATTTTAATAGAAAAGTG